TGAAGGAAGGAGCAAAAAGTAACAGAGCTAATATCAAATCCCTACTTTCCTACAGGATCATATATTCTTTTGATGTTATCCCTGTGACAATTCATAACTACTTAGGTGGCAAAGAAGGGAAGCATTCTTCTATCAGCCTTTTCTTTTACCAAAAAGCTCGCATATTTCTAAGAAAATAATTTATGCTTTCCCAAGTAACTTCCAAATGAGAGTGGGCACATCAAAGCACAAGCAAAAAAAAAAAAAGATATAAATGAATAACCCAAAATAAAACTCGCTTAATATTTTAATTTTTAACCACAAAAAGTTTTAGCTCAAGCTTTTTTTTAGCACAAAAATTTTAACTCAAAGAGCACATGATCTTTCACCACCCTAGTTCATCCTGCACAATGTTGCCAAAGTAATTTTCTCTAAGCACACATCTGACCATATGACTCACCTACTCAACAAATTGCAGTGGTTTCCTAGTTCCTCTGGGATAAAAATACTCTTCTGTTTAGCTTTTAAGGCTTTTCACAAACTCACAAACTGATTCCAACCGATCTTTCCAGCCTCATTGGATATCACTCTTTATTCCACCAGACCATGCTTACTACCTCTTGACTTTTACTATGGCTCTTAAAAAAAAACAAACTAGTTTTTGTTTCTGTTGTTCCCAGAAAATCAAGCTAGCCTTTAAAAATATACCTATACACATATAGGCCTATGAATATCTAACCATATCCACAGATCCATTTCTGTAGGTTATTAGAAATTATTATATATTAGTTTATATCCATATTAGAAATATACATGTGTATGTGCGTGTGTGTGCGTGTATAAATAAGTTGGCATCCAGAATTACAGTTTCAGAAGGAAATTCAAGACATCACAAAAATGAGACCACATCACTATATATATGTGGATTTTTTTTCTCTTTTCAAAGAATAAAAACTGTTATAAGGCAGGCATTTTTTTATTCATGCATTTTTATCTTTATTACACTTTTTAAAATGTAGTTATGGGGCAGCTAGGTGGCACAGTGGATAGAGAACTAGCCCTGGAGTGAGGAGAACCTGAGTTCAAATTCAGCCTCAGACATTTACTAGCTGTGTAATCTTGGGCAAGTCACTTAACCCCAATTGCCTCCCACCCCCAAAAAAATAATTAAATAAAGACTCTTTTACTCATTCCCTTAAAAAATGCAATTACAAAGAACAGACTATCTCTTTCAATGATATCCCTAAACAAGGTGGTTTAATTCACCTGTTTAAGTGACAAGTATGGATTTATAGGCATGCACAGAAATGGCAAAGAAATAGGAAGTACTGACAGTCACCCCATATGTACTACAATAAAGCAATCCAACGTTTCTTAAAAAAGAAAAGGACGTAACTTAAGTAAATCACTAGAAATATAATCTAAAAGCTGCACAAATGACACGAGATTTTTTAAAAAGTCAATCTTTAAAAAATGATCGTGTGTGACAAACTGAAACACAACAACCTTTCAAGGAAGAAGCAGTTGGTTTTACAATACAAAACAAAAAAATTTTTTTAATCCAGGAAGTTTCAATTTCAATATTCCCTAATTTTTGTTATTATGATGTTAAATGCTTTTACAAGGTAAACAATATGAAAATCAACACTAAGGGAGCAATTTTCAAAGAAATCAGAAATTGGAAGCCACAAAGGTCTCCATTTCACCTTTTATAACTTCAAAGGTAAAAAGGATACCAAAGCACACAGAACTGACACTTTATCAGACTTTGGGTCAGCATCAGACAAACAATAGAAAACTCCAAAATTATAAGTGATCAATCTTATGTTGTCATGTCAAAGTAAATAAGGACCTTTGAAACTGGCAAACTCTAAAATTAACACAAAACTGTAATTTTTAAAATCATAATAACACTTTCCCCATTCTCTGCTACGCAGCAACCTTACCTGTATGGAACACTGATAAGAATATTAAGTAAGCAAAAAAAAAAAAAACCCCTCTGAATTGCCAAAACAAATTATCACAAAGTTCATGTGCTAAAACTTCCTGCACTGTACTCTAGCAACAAAACATGATAGGTACTTAATCTCTTTTTGTGGAATTGAAGTAAATTAATTCATTAAGGAGTATCTGGGAATAAAGAGGCTTACTTTACACACAACTCCACATGCCAGAAAAATTGGTCTTAAATTACACAAGAGACATGGGTCTGGTAGAGTTGAGAGAATGGGGTTTGTAGTCAGATCCCAAAATTTAAATCTTGAATCCAATATTTAACAATTAACTAGGGATCACTTAACCTATCAGCCTCAGTTTCCTCATCTATAAAATGTTAATAATAATTGCACTACTCATTTCACAGAGTTGTTATAATAGGAGTACTTTATAAACCCAAATGGATGAGAGAGGCTGCTACTTGAAAAAACACTAACAACAAATAAAACATGCCCACAAATACAACAGAACTATAAAAGGGAGATAAGCAATGCTTCCAGGCTTTGGCAACAAGTCTGAACATATATTTCTAAAACATCTCAACTGCCAGCACTGTACTTTGGAAACATTAAATAAAGGTTAAACTAAACCAATTACACAACTGCCCCCAATAGTTATAATCTGTGTACAAAAAGCTTACATATATTTTTAAGTTATTTTCACCTTAGTAAATTTTCCCTGATTTGGCTTTCCAAAAATACTCAATATTTGTATTGAATATTAAATAAATAACAGCTCTTTTCTTCAAGAAAAAGCTGAGGGTCTGACTTGACTTTTTAAAAAGCAGGGAGGCAGGTGAAGGGGGAAGAGAAAAATTTAAAAGAAGTAAAAACAACAAAGTGATTACATAAATATTTCTGAAATTACTCATTAGGAATGTAGTATTAATGGAAGTATGGCTAAAGGGCTTAATAACCATTAGACAAGAGTCTGGTGTTAAAATCTTCTTGTCCTTCCTCTTTTTCTATAACTGAAATTAATCCAGATGCCTGATTAATTTTATTAGAAAAAGTACTGCTTCATTTCATATCTCTTACTAGAGAAAAAACAAACCTATGACTTATGCCAGGATCTGAAAAGTCAGATCAACTAGCCTCCATGTTTGTCAAGAAAGGACATCCTGACTTTCACTGTCACAACTCATCAGTCACTGGGGGAAAAAAATAACATGAAGGCTCTACTCACCATCCCTATAAATTTCAAAACCAAAATAACCATCTCTAGCCATCAGTTTCCTGTATGTGCTATTTCCCCCTAACAGAAAGTGAACTAGTTCATGAAGGGAAGAGATTGTTTTGCTTTTGTATTTTCACAGAATTTAGCACAGGTTTTTTTTTACACACAGGAAGAGCTTAATAAATGATTTTTCATTCATTTGCTCTGTCCAAAACAGCACCAGAACACTCTAAGTCTAATGTTCAATATATCTTAACCTCACACAGTACAAGTGTTCAATTTAGTCTTCTTTTCTTTACCCTAAGTAAGAAGAAGCCTTCACTACAAAAATCAGTAGTCTGTTCCATGATCACACAAAAATAAAGCCTAGACAGCCAACAAACAAAATCTGGCAAGAAAATAAAAACATTTGCCAAATTTTAATGCAGTGTTTTCCTTCCCCTACCCCCATCCCCAGGGGCATAAGCCAGTGCATAGGGATACAGAACATTTAAGTTTTCATCAGCACCAAGAAGCCCAAATCAATGCAGGGCATTTTTCTAGTTCCATTTTTGTTATTCCTTCACATCTGCAGGATCCACCACCCTATGAAAGAATGACATTTGCCCATAAAGGAACACAAATTCAAATTTTAGCATGTGTGGGAGTAAACTATGCTACAGCATAGCTCTACCCTTTAAACTCAGAACGCTATGTCAAAGCCATCAGAGCAACAGCTATTAGAAGCAGCTGTGACACAAATGAAAATTTCTGAAGCCCCCTGAAGGAAACCCACATCTGACTTAGGTAGACTGTAAGGAAGCAGGTTGGGTTTTTTTTTCATATTTTTGTAAATTGATCTTAATCATAGTAGTTACAAAAATGAATACAGATGATTTCTGAAACAATTTGTAATTATGCCACATTCAGGTATTGTCACTACAAAAACATTCATTTTAATAAAGTTTAATGGATTTAAAGTAGATCATTTCCTAAATTATAGAACAAGACTCCATCTGACAATACCATTTATGAGACTCAAAGCAGTAATATCAGCAAGTGATTTTAATATAACCAACTTCGAAAGTACCTTATTGAAGTTAAAAAAAAAAGTCTAAGTCAGAAGGAAAGGAGCTAGAATTAAGATTTAATATCCTTAATCCCAATATTAATTTTCCATAACAATGAAAAACAAGCAATAATTGTCATTACTATCTAAATTGAATTCATAAAATATTCATTAAAAATTACAAAAAGGAACATTACATTTATCTTATTTCTATCAACTGAGGGAAACAAATGTACTGTAAATTCATATGAGCAGTCACAACTGTGAGACTCATTGGGTCTAATAAGGTTAATGAAGACTAAATCACACTCTTAAAACGGCAAAGCATCTTAAACCTAAAAGCAATCAAGAACAGTGTCAGTCCAAGTAGACACATTCTAAATGGCTGCTTTCACAAAAAGAAAAAAAATTAATAGGAGCAGAATGAATCACAAAGATGTAACATTCACCCTGGGACCAAGACTAATAGAATCACACATCAAGTACAGCACCAGGGATAACTAAAACCTCCTTCTTTTCCATGAACCTTTCACATTTTTGTGCTAAGTCTGTGTAGGCTAAAACACAGGAGGGAACCTGTAAGCATCAGCATTTGAATTTCTCATCTTATTTGCCATATTCCAATACTCTATTCTAAGTGGGCCATCTATGGAAAATCAATAGGACTATAAAAAGATTCTCAAAAGTTAATTTCAAAATGATTATTTTTCACTGACTCACAACATTTGCCAAGGTTTGATGTCAATGGCAATCAATCATATTTTTCTAACATTAGCAACACTAGTAAATTAGCTATTTTTACCTTACAAACTGTATCTATATCCCAAGGTAGAATAGTCTTCAAGTCAATTACTTCACAAGAAACTCCCAATTTTTCTTGAGCCATGCTTGCTACTTCTCTGATCACATGAACCTGAAATGGGAAAAGGCATCCGAATATCTGAAAATCTGTGGTATTCTCCCTCAAATTACTTAATGCTACTTTAGGTCTGTCATGAGAATTATTCATTTAAAAAAATTTTCACAATTAGTCTGAAGCAATAAAAACTAAAATTCAAACCACACAATGGAATCATTAGTAATTGTTCACATGATGATAATGGAAACACAGGTAACATTACTTAGAGTACTCTAAATAATTAACTTCTTAAGTTTTCATAAAAAGAATCTAAGAAGCAAAATTTCAAACATAATAAGTCATGAAATGAATGTAAAACAATATTTCATATTGTTTTAAAATAATACTACACTACTAATGTGAATACTTCACAATCTAAATGAAAATTGATTAGAACTACATCAAAAATTAATTTCCACTTATGCAAAAACATAGAGAGAATTATATTTCCACAGAAGGTAATTCCACTGGGTGAACGGGCCAATTTTAATACTGTGATGAGAGACAAAAGAATGTCATCCAAACTACCAGACTCACTAAATTAAATACAACTTATTAGATAGTTATTAAAAATCTTTTTGCTTTTCAAATATCTCCATACCAAGTAATGGTGCAGCGAAACCACTTCTTTGAAAGATAGTTACTTTCTGTCCAAAGAGGGTTTTTTTTTTCATATGTCAGCAACAGGCTGGGATTTTTCTATCCCTAAGTCCCTCTTAATAGAAAACAATATCATGGACAACTGAAGTTGTATATGCTACATGCTACAAAAGGAAGAGTTAATAAATTACTCTAATTTTGGATATAATGATGACAAAGATTATCTTGTATTTATATTCTTAAATGGAGCTGTGATGCTTTTCAATGGTGTATATAGCAAGCCTTCTCATTCCAGGCATCATCTATCCATATCCTCCTGTAAATTCTCCACAGGGATGCTAACTACTGTGGTACAAATCCACTTCTTGGTTTCCTGAAATTATATAGAGACCCATTAGGCATGTGGAATGTCTTTCTGTTATCTTTTTTACCACATGCCTCCACCATATCTTTTTCCAGGCAGATTTTCCTTTTATATCATATTTTATGTGACTTTTCGCCACATAAATTGTTTCTTAATAATATGTTGCAGTATAGATTACATGAATATGTGTCATTTCAATGACTTTAGTGACCCAGGATATTTTTAAATACTCAAAGATTATGCTATTCTATGAATCACAGGGCATCACCATTAGAATATTGTTATTAAAATTGAGTTTGTTTCAAGAAGAACCTTACTTACCTGAGTCCCCCAAGCCACTAGAGTAACATCACTCCCTTCCTGTAGCACTTCAGCTTGGGACAATGGGATATAATATGGCTCCACAGGCACTTGTTCCACTAAATAAATATTGGGGAGGGGGGTAAAAAAAGACAATTTTTTCCCCTTGATATTTGTGCAAGAATATTTTTTAAACTTCATCATAAAACGTCAAAATATTTATTTCCATTGAAATAGTAATTTATCATGTAATTTATAAACAGAAAAAGTTTAATGACAGTCCCGTCAATATCAACCAATACAACAATTATGAAAGATGTCTGATTCACTAAAATAAGTTAAATTTCCAGTTAAGGTTTTTGCAAGTACCAAAATGATGAGCCAAGGGTAACAGGAAAAACGTGTATGTCACTATTTTGACATATTTCCTGCCAAGTCCTGTTCTTGATATGTACATAAACCATGCAAGCATACATTTTTATGAAGATGAAAATACAGGGATATAAATAGCTATTGATGTTCTCTCAGTGACTTTTTCAGGTAATAATTCCATCATTAATTTTCTTCATGCTTTTGGCATCGTCCCTTCTTCGAGAAATATTGAAAACTGATCTATAAGTACCTTAAAATTTAATTTTCTGTAGTATAGATTTTTCCATGTTTCCATAGTTAGATCCAGCTACTCATTCTTCTAACTTCATCTTGCAAAAAGCCATGGTCAATTCCACAAATAGTCTCAGATAATGAGTTATCAGAATGCAAATGTGATGACAGTAATGTAATCAATGAGAAGAAATACTGTTACAACCATTACATTTTGTATCTATTTGTTGGCCTCCTTTCAGTTTCATCTGTTAAAGGTCTTGGAATCATATAGTTTAAGTGAGTCTCACAAAAAGCTTTCCCCAAATTTACTTTCCCCTCTACCTCTTTTAACTACTTCGTGTTGGTATCTGGATTTGATACTGAAGTGAGGAGATGGAAAGTGATCATGTGGCCCAATGAGTTCAGGCCACCAAGCTCCAATAACTAAATTTTCAGATACTAAAAGAACTAGCAATTGCTATTACTTGAGACATTATCAGTGACTTTTTGCAAGCTCATGGCAAGCAGAAGTCTTTCAAGAATGGATCAAGCAAAATGTTATCTCAATTAAAATTAAATGGAATTGGGGTGCTAGTCATTGGCCCTCTGACTATGGAGGGAACCCAACCAGTGGAAGCTCAAGCCAAAATTTCCTGCAAAGTTTGGATTCAGTCAAAGGGCTGTACTTGAGGACCTAGAGGGACACATGTGGTCTTGAGGCCACAGGTTCCCTACCCCTAATCTAGCCCAACTCATAAACAAAAGGAATTCCCATTTTAATATACCTAAGTGATCATCTTGCTACTGCTTAACTGCAGTGGACTTAACTCCAAGGAGAGAGAACCCAGGTAGCCCATTCATTCCTCTTTTGAACAGCTCTGATTATTACAAAGTTTTTCCTGATAGCAAGACCTAGTTGCTTATTGTTTCTGATTCTGCCTCTGGGCCCAAATAAAACAAGGCTTAATACCTCCTCTACATTATAGCCCTTCAAATGCTTGAAGACAATTGTCATGACTCCCTTAACTAGTTTTCTTTACAATAAACACGCCCAGTCTCTTCAGCCAATCTTCATATGCCCTGATGCACAGACAGAATGGGCATTGCCTCACTCAAAGTGAGAATCTGAAAAGACCTTAGTTTAAAAGAGCCAAAGTCTCCCATTGCATCCTGGGCCATCTCCAGTCATCCTGATGGATATCTGGCCACTGGACTCATATGGCTTTGGCAGAGAAAATGTGGCTGATTACTTTGTACACACAGCCTTCTGTCACTCAAATCAAAGCAACTGCAAGTCATGTCATCATCTCCCTGAGGTCATGGTCCTCTTCGAGAACTAAGGACAAATCACATTTCAATTAAAAAAAAAAAAGATTAGAATTAAGTGTCCAAACAATAAACCAGTAAAGACTAAAAAGGTTGGCAAATATTCCTGGCAAAATTCTAGAATATATTATTATAATTGTTGTTAGTGAATATAAGATAATGAAGAACAAATTATTCTATACTGACTTCATTTCTTTTTCTGATAGAGTTACTAGACTGGTTAGATAGGGAAATTTTGTAGATGTAGTTTACTTCAATTTTAGTAAAACATCTGATAAAATATCTAATACTATTTTTGTGGAAAAGATAGAGGGATATAGGCTAGGTAAGACTAAAATTAGGTTGATACAGAACTCATTGAATCACAGCACCCAGAAAGTAGTCAGTAATAGTTTGATGTCAAGTTGGAAAGAGGTCTCCAGTAGAGTACTCTCCAAGAATGTGTGCTTGGCTATGTTGTCTGACATTTTTAATGACTAGAATAAAGGCATAAATGCATGTTTATCAAATCTGAAGATGATACAAATATGAGAAAACTAGCTAACATGTTGAATGACCCAATCAGGATTCAAAAATATCTCATCAGGCTCCAACACTGGGCCAAATCCAAAGGGATGAAGTTTAAGTTCAAAAGTTAACTTACCAAATATAAGATGTAGGAAGTGTGGCTTATGCAGAAATTAGTGTGAAAAGGATTTGGGAGTTTTAGAAGACTCTAAGTTCAATGTAGAGGCACAGCAAGGTGGCTCAGTGAATAGTGCTCTGCGCCTGGGGTCAGGAAGACCTGAGTTCAAATCCAGCCTCAGACAATTATTAGCTGTGTGACTCTAAGCAAGTGCTTTAACCTGCTTGCCTTAATCCACTAGAGAAGAAAATGTCAAACCATTCCAGTATCTTTGCCAAGAAAACCCCATGAACAGTGGGGTCCACAAGGTCACAAAGAGTAAGACACAACTGAATGACTGAACAACAAGCTCAATGTGAGTTCAGTATGATGTGACAGGGAGAAAAAAAATAGTATTTCAAAGACTGGGAAAGGCATAGTGTTCAAAATAAGGGAATTGATAGCCCCAGCATACTCTACCCGGGTCAGACTACACTCAGAGCATTGGGTTCAGTTCTGGAGACATCTTAGGAAGGTCATTATGGAGCCATCATAGGAAACTAGAAAAAATACTCAATCTGGAGCCAGGAGATCTAGGCTCAATTCTCATTCGTGCCACTTGCTACACATGTGGCTTTAGAGAAGTCACCTCACCTCTCAGTTTTCTCATCTATAAAAGTGGAATGGGACTAGATTATTTCTAGTGCTAAATCAGTAAGTTGAAGAGTGTCTAGATGAAGGCAACTAATATGGTGAATGGCCTTAACATTAAGTTATAGGAGGATCAGCTAAAGAAATTGAAGATGTTTAAAAGAAGACTTAAGAGGGACATGATAGCGCACTCTCTCTCTCTCTCTGTTTCTGTCTCTGTCTCTATCTCTCTCTGTCTCTCTGTGTGAGAGAGAGAGAGTGTGTGTGTGTGTGTGTGTGTGTGTGTGTCCTTCAACATTTCCTTATTTAGTGGCTCTTTCCTGGATGCTAAAAAAACACACTCAGGTTGCCCCATCCATTAACAATACCTTCATTAGATCCACTATACCTAAAAGTCTGTATCTCACCTTTCTTCAGCTAAACTCATTGAAAAAGCAATCTTTAATCTCTACTTTCATTTCCTTTCCTCTCACTCTACTAAATGGTCTAAAGCTTCTGAATTCATCATTCTACTGAAATTATTCTCTCTGAAGTTACCAATAATCTCTTTTCATAAATTTTCATAAGTCAAAAGATTTTTAAATTGCATACACCTTTCCTTGTTAACTATAGCTAGAGAAGCCTGGGGAGGACACAGTTATATACACCAACAAGTTAGAAGATGCACAATTTGCATTTCAAGTCTTCAGCTATGAAATCTTCAGCATTTCATGCAAATGGAATCCTCTATTTGATCCTAACAACATAAAATAGGTCTCAAATTCCCAAATCTATTAAAATTACCTTATTGTTACCAATATTACCTTAAAATATGATTACTCAAAAATACTTTATTCTGACCTATCCCAGAGAACTACTTTGAATCTGGAGACGGTATGGGAAAAAATATTGTCTTCATTTACTTCCTTGAGTTTACATGGAACAAAAAGCAGCTGGACTCTGAAATTGCACTTTGTTGATAATTTATTTCTAGTCTAGAATGCTTTTTTTTCAAAAGCACACATTACCTTATAGAATGTTCTTGGCTTACAATCTTTTAAAGAGGGAAATTACAACTGTACCACAATTACAACAGAGTATAACCAAGGAGGGTGTTTCCAGGGAAGAAACAGTTAATGACTGATTCTAAAAACTGTTTCCTTTGCTTATAGGTCTTACCTCATCCTGCTAAAAAAGGAGCAACAACGGGAAAAAAAAATCCAAATTCCTATCTAGTGAATTGATGTGATAATAAGGTCAATCAAGTCTTTTATTCTCTGTCAAGGTGATATAACTAAATAGGAAAATTGTAAAAATGGAATTTTTCCTTTTTCTAATTTGATTTTAAAATATTGAATTCTATATATAGAATGAAGCAGGGAAATCTGTAAATAATTCTCTTTTTTATCCCTCTGATAAAATAAGTTGTTAGTATTCTCAGCAGCAGATGCCAGATATAAAATGCTAGATTTCATATTTTTTTTCAATAATTCAAGTTCCTATAATTACGCATGAAATGCTAAAAAAAAATATGGCGTTTGTAGCTAAATGTCACTCTCCAAAAGAGTAAAATATTCCTCTGAAAAACATATTTGAAGGCAAAGCCTCATTCCACATTTTTAAATTGGATGATATGATGCCAGAAGATGCAGTCAATCAATATTTACTTATTAAGAGTTTACAATATGCACAGAAACTATACAAGGTACTATTGAGAATAAAAAATAAGTTGAAAACTTGATACCTGTTCTGAATGAGCTAAAAAGCTAGCTAGAAAATACAAGCCAACGTTGTACAATATAAAGAACTGCTATTATAGGTCAGAAAAAGAGAGAGGAGGTGGAATAACCAGCTCATATAATAAATTCAGGGACAGTGTGAGAATTGAGCTGGGAATGTAGGAAATTTAAAGGAATAATGGCTTTCAATTAATACAGACAGAAAGGAAAAGTGGAAAGGCATTCCACACAGAAA